AAGAGCGTTGCCACGCTCCAGCCGGGTCCCCCGACACCTCCTGGCTGCTAAGGCCTCCTGGTGCCCGTCATCCTGCCTTGCTTGCTGGTTTTTAATAATCTGCTTTATTTTTATCTCCTGCTCTGTTTTTCAAAGAGAAAGTCAACAAAGCACGTCAGCACTGGGGAGGGAGGTGAGGGTAGGCATTCCCGTCCGCTCCCATGGTGGGCTCCCAATGCCACGTCCAGTTTTTTTAACACAGAAGGTGCCTGAGTTCAGGACTGGACTTTTACAGCCACCTTCGGTGGGTTGTAAAGAGAGTTAAAGGCACCTGCTGACATCTAGCCCCGTGCACCCGCAGCCCGGGGAGTCCCTGGGGCAGAAGTGCTTTTTTTATTGCAGCTCCTGGGAATTGCACTGGGAAATAGGGCTTCATTCATCCCTGGGCTATTTCTCATCCTCCCTTCCTTGTTTTCTTGCAGTCTTTTAAGTGGGTTCGGCTCCGGGGAGAGAAGAAGGGGCTTTCTGCAGCGGCAAGGCAGCCACTGGCGCATCGCTGGGTGTCCGAGCTTGCTTGCCACCGGCGAGCATTCGGCCGGTGGTAGGTGCTAAATTTAGAGGTCCAAAAGCACGTGGCAAACGCCGGGCGAGGACAGGCCAACGCAGCACGAGCAGCGCTGGTAACTGCTCCCTTGCTCTCTGCCTGCCCGCAGAGCGCCCGCTCTTCGCAGGTGAGCGATACCCAGATTCGCTGCATCCCGGTGCAGCGAATCGCATCCCGCCTGACGAACCAGCACCTTTCTGACCCCTCCGCGCCGCTCGCTCGGCTTTAATCCGAACCTCCCCCGTTCCAGCTGGAGAGAGCCCAAGAAAACGCTCGCGGAGCAGAAGCGCCGGGTCCCGGGTCGGGAAGCGGGCAGCTTGGGGGACGCGGCTGAGAGCGCGGTGCCTTCTCCCGTGCGGTGCCCGCAGCCGGACGGGGCTGACCTCAAAGTGAATATTGAGCGAAAGAGATTTTGTTGCTCTTTTTTCCGAGGCTTTTGTTATTCTCTGGTGGATCCTTAGAGCTGCTCAAATGCAGTCCGGGATAATCCGTCTTGGCATGCTCAAGGTTTCACTCCAAAGCTGGGGAGGTTTTGGGAACTCTTTGCTTGGCTGTGCTATTCAAGGTCAAGGCTTTCAGAGGTCCTGGGCTATTCTTGAAGACCTAGTTTGACTCCGTGGAAAGGCTGATCCCCCACTAATCAGCGAACTAGGCTAGAGACCTTGCACGAGGACCTTGCTCTGGCAGGCTCAAGGATTTCTGCATACAGCTGGAGCTGATTTTACAGCTCGGACTTCGGAGGGGCCTTGCAGTCAACTTCTGCATAGCAAATCGATACCTTCCCCGTAGAAAACGTAGCCAGAAACTTCTATTTTCGTTTGTCGTACTCAAATGCTGTTCAGCTTTTTTCCAGAGTTTTCCGTTTCTGCATTGAGCAGTTGGACTCTTCCCCAAAAGCCCACCTCAAAATTAAATATATGGATGATCTCATCTCGGTTGCTCCCAAGCCAAGCAAAGGCGAGAGAAAGGGTCTGTTCAGCGGACGGCGCCGGGAGCGAGCCTGACTTATTATTCACCGCGATGAAGCGGCGTGACGGCGCGCTGGGCCGGCGTGTCAATTAAACCCGACCCTGAACTGGCGTTGAACACTGGAGAAAGGAATTAACAAACGAAGTGTGGCATTGATCGATCCGTCCGCGCTAATGGACTCTCCGCGGCCGTGGAGAGCGGTGACGTTTGTGCGGAGGGGACGGCGGGAAGGTTTCTCTCCCCTCTTCTGCAGCAGCTTGGGTCAGGGGGACGATTCCTCCGTGGATTCTGCAGTTTGGGGCAATTTTTGGACAAAACCCAGTTGAAGCTTGGGCAAAACCTCTGTTTATGCCCCGGACTGGTGCGTTTTGTGATGCTCGCAGGGATTTTTGTTCAAGGTCCAGACAGCATCTCCCGTGGCTGCTTCTACCCTTGACCTTGCTGCGTCCTTCTCCGTATCGCCTCTGCGGGCTCCTGGGGGCAGGAGGGAGACGGAGAAG